AGTATTTACCTATCCCTGGAGTGGTATGCTACAGTTGTTCAGCAGTAGGTACCTATCCCTGGAGTGGTATGTGTTAGATTCAGGACCTCTCGCGACTGTATATACTGTATATATACTGTATATATACATACATTGGCCATAATATCAGTTTCAGAGCACATCAGCAGATACTAAATCACTTTATTGTCATTTAAAAAGCCTTTCATATATCCGAACAAGAAAATGGACGAGATAAAATAGATACATTCCTTTATTTAAGATGCTGTGTTGCGCTACTTTGTCAATAAAGTCAAAAAAATACATTTACGGCATCACTGTTTGTGAATCAAACCAATTTACATTAAATATGCATGTGCATCAAGAGACGGCACTGGTGTGCCTGTCTGACAGTAGACTACTACTTTCAAGCAGAACCTGCCATCAGAAAACAGTGTGCCGTTGGAAAAGTACTGGCATACCACTCTAGAGATAGGTACCTACCGCTGAACAACAGTAGCATACCATCGGCCACTTTGTGATCTCGGCGCTACTGGTCTGAGGTTACCCTCATGAGTTCAGTTAAGCCGGTCATTAAAGATTTTATTATTTTATTTGTTTTCTTCTAAACATGCAGTACATTGTGAGTTTTGTGATGTAATACAAATGCCCCTTTATTATTTGTCTTGAGAACATGTATTAAACTGCAACAATTATGTATCGAATGTCTGTTATTCCTCTATTTGTTGGGATTTAAATGCAAAAGTATTGGGTTGTATTACCCTTTGAAAATAAACGGTAACATTCTGGCATATACCGTAAAATCACCGTAAAACCCAGTTATCCTAGCATCACATAATGTAATCCAGTATACGGTAAGATACCGTAAAAGTAAATTAAGGTAGCTTCACCATAAAAAATCTGTAAATTAATTACTGGCAGCAAATCCTTGCTGCCAGTAATTTACTGTTATTCTACAGTGAAATCGTTTATAGTGCAAAGAGTAAAAGCGGCAAACTAGATATAATGTGTTTATTTGTAAGCTTTAGAGTTTCTGCTACAGGTGGACTTTGTAACCTTTGGACAGAGCAAAGCTAGCTGTTTCTCCTTGTTTCCAGTCTTCATGCTAAGCTAAGCTAATTAGGTGCTGGCGGTAGCCCTATATTAAACAGACGGACATAATTGTGGTACAGATTTTCTTATCTAGCTCTTGGCAGGAAAGCAAATAAAAACATATTTCCAAAAGTGTTGAACTATTCCTTTATGAGCACATAAACCCCAATATGATGTAACACAATATGATGTAACGCATTTAGTCAATTCAAGGCTGTGGATGTGTGGCACTGGACTGCAATATATTGAATGTTGTTTCTCTTTTTTTTGTGTCCATCCTAACTTGCTTACAGACAATGAGTGAAATCAAATATCAGAAACAACTCTCAGTATAATGAAACCATTACATCACTAACTACAGCTTAAAATCAGACAGTCACAACATAAACTCAACGTTAAAAATGTTATTTAAATAGCCTACTGTAGTTTGTGAGCATGTGAGGCAGGTCTATGATCAGAACTGTGGCTCCCTCTCAAAATCTTCTCAAATCGGCTTTGCATTCTGGGTAATCAGTGTGCACACTGTTATCTCTGCCATGTCTGAACTTGCTAGGAACTACATAACATATAGCCCACATTTTCCTCTCAATTCAGACGACTTGAAGGGGGACCTTGACGTGTACGTGAAGATGATCGAGCAGCAGAACCCGAGTCTCCGTATTACAAGAGTGAAGCACAGTGAGCAGCGAGGCCTTTCATATGCCAGGGTTTCTGGATGGAGGGCTGCTACTGCTGACGTGGTGGCCATACTGGACGCGCACATTGAAGTCCATGAGCTGTGGTAAGAATGTGGCAAAAAAAGAAATCCTATTATACTATGATTTATGTGTAGTATTTCTAGTAAAAGACTTGAAACATGATACATTAGTTGCATCTGCGCTAAACAACCTTCATTTTTGCAATTCACTTAAAAAGTGAAATTCTCAAGCTTTTCCCCAGTACTGACATCACAATGTTAATTATAGCTAGACATTCATTTGAAAAGGTTACATAGGGAAGTGTCCATACCGCCAGAAGGTACAAACTGACTCTGGTGAGGTGAAGTATTGAACCAGCAGTCTAACTGGTTGCTGAGTAAATGTCAGAAGGGTACAGTGATGTGAGAACTGCTTCTCTTCCATTCCCCTCATGCAGGGCTGAACCCCTGCTGACACAGATCAAAGGTGACCGGACGGTGGTGACGTCCCCAGTGTTCGACAAAGTCCACTTTGATGACCTCAGGGTTGCTGAATACTTTCCAGCAGCACACGCCTTCGACTGGGCTTTATGGTGCATGTACGAGGGGTTTTCGGACGACTATTACAAACTCGGAGACGGCTCGTTGCCTGGAAAGTAAGTTAAAGTGAAATCAGTAAGTCTTGTTCCAATTTGTGAAAAACAAATATAACACCATGGTCTCATTAATCGTATCTTGGATGAGATGATCTTGATTATCTAAAAGCTTGACTTTTAATGGTAATACTGATGTAAATTATACAGTTGCGACCGTTGTCTTCTTTCACCTCAGAAGTCCATCTGTCATGGGGATCCTGGTAGCTGACAGGAAGTATCTAGGAGAAATTGGAGTCCTCGATGAAGGCATGAAAGTGTACGGTGGAGAAAATGTTGAGCTGGGAATTCGTGTGAGTAAGCATCACCTGTCTAACACGCACATCTAACAAATCTTACACCTTATGACGCAGTCCCAGGTCAACTTGCAGCAAGAAAGAGTGCAGATCCTGGCTTCAGTACAATTACCCCTCTCACTCTGTGAAATGACTAGAGGTGTCATTTACAACCGTCTTGTTCGCACAAAACGGGCCTGAGAAACCACGGGAAACCACTGTTCTCCCACCACTCGATGGGAGAACACCTGTAGAGGACACATGCATACACACGTTATGGAAACGGGGGCAATTGGCGACGCAGTTGGTGAGGTGGTGAATTGAAGCCAGATTGTAAAAATTAAAAGTGAGAGGAATCCTTAAATGTGCAATGATTTAATTTCGCTTCTTGCTGACAGCCTGGATGAGAAGATTGACACCACTTTCATGTGTGTGTGGTAAGAATGCCGCTACAGCTAGCATCCACTTTGCTTTGCTTGCTTGCCCACATTTTGTAAACTTTTAAGTAGCTCCTTATTTGCATTGACACAATTGATGATTCAGTTTTATTGTATGAGCTCTTTCTTTGCTCATGCAGGTGTGGACATGTGGAGGCAGTGTTGAAGTAGTTCCATGCTCAAAGATCGCTCACATCGAGAGGGCCCACAAGCCCTACATGCCTGACCTGAGCCAAGCCATGAGGAGAAACGCCCTGAGGGTAGCAGAAATCTGGATGGATGAATACAAACACAACGTCAACTTGGCATGGAACGTGCCACTCGAGGTAGAACAAAAACGATGATGCCCATTCTTGGCATGCTGCATGCTTCTACACACAGGGTGCAGGATGAACATCCGAGAGTCCATACATCATTAGTTATGAGCACATTTGAATTTCTTAAGTTACAATATCACAAACATGTCACTCCATATTCTCTGCAGAATCACGGAATTGACATCGGGGACATCTCAGAGAGGAAAAAACTCAGGGAAACGTTAAAATGCAAACCTTTCAAATGGTACCTGGAAAATGTGTATCCCAAATTGGATCCCTTGGACAACCTAGTTGCTTATGGCGTAGTAAGTTAAGTTTTATCTCATGCTTTGTTTGTGTAGTAGAGGCAGTACAGCGGTGTGCAGTGGGTGTGTGCATTGCCACGTTCATTTATTTTCTAATGATTCACTCCCACGTGTAATAGTGGTCGATACATTTTCTCTGTGTTTGACAAAATGATGAACTTCCCCTTTTATAGCTGAAGAATCTTGATGCTGATATGTGCTTAGACCAAGGCCCAGTACCAGGCCAGACACCCATCGCCTACGGCTGCCACTACTATGCACCTCAAGTAAGTGAAGCAGCTTAAAAGGGTTGTCTCTTAAAAAATACAAGTGGCAGTATTGTCTGTTGTCTTATTTAAATGCGCAATCTGCTTGCTGCTTAACTTTTTAAAAATATTTTTCAGGTCACCTATTATCGCTCAAACGGTGAGCTTTATATCGGCGGCATCAAGTCCCATAGGTACAATGACAACCGGTGTTTAACTGACATTGGGAAAAATGATACAGAGCCTGGCCTTTACAACTGCAAAGAGGCTGTGCGGAAAGGAATGGGGATTTACTGGAACTTCACTCAGGTACAGGTTCAACTATTATCAAAACACAAAGCAAAGTACATGAAAGTCAAGGAAGGGGAAGTTTTATCTCAGTAAAATAATTGGTGAAAGTCAGTGTGTTTGAAATTAGAGTGGATGAGTTCAGGCTGACTCATAACTCAAAGTATTGACTGTGGTTGTCTGAATGTTTTAAGATGACATACTGTGCTTCCCCATTCTTAAATCTTGACACCTGTCTTTTCTAGGGCAAAGAAATGAGGAACACAGAGACAAAGAGATGTCTGGAGATTAAAAACGGCAAACTTGTAATACAGGAATGCTCTGGCCAAAGATGGGAAATCCAACACATAATCAAGCCGTTTTAAAAGTGTGAGTGTGTGTGTGTGTGTGTGTGTGTGTGGGTTTAAGCTTTGTTTGTTTTGCTGTTTAAATAAAGTTGTGTCTGCCTGCTTCCCTCCATGGCAGAAGTGAATAAATGCTATTAGTTAGATGCATCATTGCTATGATAAAATGTAAATTTAAGGTTTTAGTTCTATAACAATTGCCCAGTTATTACAAATGCTACATCTGGAAGCATTTTTATGCAATATGTTTGGTGCTTTTGGGTGAATCTCAGGTTTGAAAATGTATTTATCCTCTCTGCAGAGAAAGTCAAACACAACTCATGGTAAAGGAAATGTAAATAGAATAAAGGTCAATGAAGGTATAACAGTGGATTAAGAAAATAATGAAAGTGCTGAGTAAACAGCAGTGCAGAGGTGTAACAAGTGCAGAGTTCAAAAGCTTAACCAAGCCTCCTTCTACAAAGACGACTTTGTGGATGACTGAGTTCCCAACAGGTTTAAATCTACTGTACACTGTTTTTTTTTCCATTATTAAAGGTTTGTCTTGTTACTTATGTAATCCTGAAAAGATATGCATAAAGTAACTATCTGTGTAAACTATGTGTTATTTAATTACATTGAGTGTAAAAAATGATATTGATGTGTTCTAAGAATATAATTACCCACAGCCTTCATTTCTTCTGGGGAGCCTTGTCCAGAAGAGTGATAGCTATATTTGGGACTTAGTTTGTGGATTTACATGGGGGTTGGTAGTCTTTTTATTTACAGCACACCTCAGTGGAGGCCAACAAAGGGAACAAATGTTGATCATTGTCCTTTTTTTTATTATTTGGAAATAAACATGATTCATAAAACTGGTTGTTTGAATTATTTTTCAAAAAAGGGAAGCTCTAGCCTGTCGTGTCTAAAAGCTGCGTAAGTGGTCAACATGACGATAAAGCTCAGTTGTGTGTTTGTGTTCATTGGAAGTTTGGAGAAGAGGTACTTGCAATGATCATCCTTGAAAAGTTTACCATCAACAACAACAACATACTTTCAGAGTGTGAGGAGTCGTTTACTGAAACCAGACTGTTATTTGGAGAAATATATATATTTTTTATGTGGCTTTCCGGGCACAGAAAGAAGCCAGATCAGCAGGTTATAATGAACTGACTTGAGCTGAACTGCGCAACTGAGTGAGAAACTGTGATATTATGAAAGCATGTGTGCATTATTCTGTGACCTTTTTTATTACGTGCTATCCTGGGACTTTCTTAATGACATCTTTACAGCAAACTTGACATTGCCATTTTTTATGACATACTATACTGAGAGTTTTATAATTAAAGTTTTTGGACATTTTTATGGCATAGTACGCCATGAGTATTATTTTTACATACTATACTATGACTTTTAAATTACATTTAAAAAAAAGCTTTCTTTTAAAATGCTGTCTGTGGGAAATTTCCTCCAATGAAAACTATGTATTTACACCATCTCCAGAGTGGCTTTATTCTTTCATATCATTATACTCTTTTGCCTCTGGGGTGAGTCAAAAATATTGATCAATTTCATCACTTGTTGCTGTATTTTGCTGTATAGAATATTTTGGTTATCATAATTATGAATAAACATGGTTGTTTTTTGTTCTACTTCCAGATGAGGTATCTGAAAAACTAAAGCCCTTTTCTTGAAAAATAAAAAAATGAGATGGTGGTCTAATGATGGCTCTATACCATAGGAAAGTTCAGGTGTCACTAAAAGTGCCAATTTTCACTTGACTGTGGAGGTACATGCAGGGTTTCACCTAAATCACAAGGAATCAAACTCGTGATCCCCACCACATACCACTTTACTCAGGACAGTGACCAACAAATAAGCATGGTCTATAATATAGACTCATTTCAACACAGATACATTGACGCACAACAGAAATGCCAATGCTGTGTTTGAGGTAACAATGCTTTGGTAACCAAATTTAAGAGATGTCAAAAATGTAATAATCTAAAATGTTTCGGAATTCATGTGATGGCCAGTGTATATAATCATTTGATCTGATTAGACCTCTGTTCAAGCTGAAGGTGGAACCAAAGTATATGCACGTGTTTTTCAGTTACACCGGAAAAAGACGAAGTCCCACGAACGCTCACGAAAATCTGGTTTCTTAGCAACCCGTGTGTATAAACAAAGTATCCAAGTGTGTCTTGCAGTGGGTCCATTTAAAGTTTAACACCGTAACATACTCTATTGCAGCCGACATGTTTCACGATGATTTACTCTCAGACCGCGTCGCTCAGATGAATCTGCAGCGGTGTCGCAACAGAGAGACTGAAAGACGGGAACGGATTTTTAATGACAAAGTGAGGACGATCGGGGTAAGCTACCGCTAGGTGTTTGTGTCTGTGACGATAGGATGCTCACCACATGAATAATGCTATTGTATAATATGCTTTGTTCTTATCAGGCATTTTTTATTGTGCTGTCACGATCAATAGGTTGACAAGGAAGCCTTAAACATGCAGATGAAAGAAAGAGAGAAACAAGAAGAGGCAGCAAGAGAGGAACAAAACGCTCATGGTGAGTTTGTTAATAGTTCCTAATTAATGTTGACTGACCTCAATGATTTAGTCAGTATCATGTGTTCTGATAGGGCGATGGACTACAGGTAAATAGCTTTCGTCAGTATCACTGATAAAACACAGTGTCTGTTCATGAGCATCCACACACATTACTGCCACTGTGTTGTGTATTATGATACTTTTGGACATCAATTAGTCACCATTTCTAATAAAGTGCATTGTGATGTGTGTTGGGACGTTTGGACAAAGTTTCCCTGATGTGGAATTGTTAATGTTAAGATGTCGGACATATAATCTGGACAGATAATTGTTTGGTTCCTTCTAATGCAAATTCAAAATGCACTACAGGAATGCACTACCTTCTTTTTCCATTTTGTTTTGCTTGTCACATTTTCTTCCTTGAGGAGCAAACAGGCTACAGCTGCATTTCCTTGTGCAACCCGTTGTTTTATAACGACAATAAATGATCCTGGAATCCTTGAATGTGTACTCCATACAGATGCTGGTATCCTCCATAATAGCAAAGTAGCCTGCCTCCTCCATAGCAGAGAAGTAAAGGAGAGGCGTGCGATGGAAAAGGCCATTGTCGACTACCAACGTCGGGACCAGCGGGAGTTTGACCCGAAAGCCCCAGACCGCTGTGGGAAAGCAGACCCAGGTGACACACAGATGACACTCCCTGGCCTGGTGGGCGAGGATCCCGACAGTGAGAGCCGGCGGCGGAGGCAGAAGGAGCAGCTCAGAGAGTGGCTCATTCAGCAGCAAAGTGAGCGAGCAGCAGAGAGGCATCAACGAGAGCTGGAGGGTAGGTTTGCCTGATCCCATCCAGGATGCAGGCGCTCGGTTCACAGACACGCACGCAAAACATAACCTCACCTCGTCACCTCCACTGTTCTACAGAGCAGCGCTATGACCAAAGCAGAGAAGACATGGACAACACAGCTCTGCAGCTTCAGAGCCTTGAGGTGGAGAGGAGAAAAGCAGCAGCTATGGCCACTAAAGAGTACAATCTGGCCAAGGTAAGTCCCCTGGTAATCGCTCAGACTGTCAGATGGAGGTGGTTAAACTTGCTATCTAACACATTGATATTACTTCTGACAACAAATCCCTAAAGCAACATGGGAGGCTTAGAAACACACTCTGAAATGCATATATTTGAATTGCATGGGCCTTGAACGGCATTCAAGAGCATTCAAAGGAGATCCCTCTTAAGAAAACTATTTGGTATTCTTTGGTTGCATCAGTTTTGAAAGTGATGACACCATGCATGTTTTGTGGGTATATGTGGTGTGCTTTGGTCTTTTTAAAGTGTTGGAATTGGAGGTGCAGTAACAACACTTTCTATCACTCTCTCCTTTTTGCTGGCTCTGGATGGGCAAAGATCGAAGAGAAGCGTTGCCAGCGAGGGGATCGTAATGACGAGGGCAATCAAACGGGTACCGGGAACCATCTGCGAGGACAGCTGACGGGTGTAGGTGCCGAACCCACCTCGGGCATGGTGGGAGTGCCTGGTAGTTGTCCCAGCAGTGATAGGAGAGCACCTCGAGAGAGCCTGCAGCAGATCATCCAGTTCCAGAAATATCAGATAGAGGAGAAAAAGGTAAAAGGGGAAACAAATGACACTCAAAACACATGCTCTTTTTGATCATTCAAACAACTGTCCACTGGTCGTCTGTCTGGGTAATCTGTGCATCTGCAGAGGGCAGACCTGGAGAAAAAGCAAGACGAGGAGCAACACGATCGTGTCCGTTTGGACTCGGCTCGGACAGCTCTGTTCATGGAGAGGCAGCAGGCAAAACTGAACAAGCAGCTGAGACGACAAGTGGACAGCACCAATGTCAAGCTGGCAGAGACACACAAACAACAGTCAGTGGCATTATTCACTCAGTTATACACACACACACACGGTGTATATTTCAGCACATAAAATAAATGGTGTCTCACTTCCGTTTCTGACCTGCTGTCATTTGAAGGAAACCGGACATTAAAAGAGGAAGCATTGACGACAGCTTCTTCTCCAAATTCAACACCTGCAGCAGATGATGGATGACTGGCTCATCACAGTACCGATAATGGTGGAACGTGAGAAGAACACGGAATGAACTACGCAAACCGTAAATCAACAGTTGTTTTTAATTATGTCAAAGTTCATTTCAGTGGTTGACAACATTTGAATATGTCTGGATGATGACAGTTGTTCATATATAAAATATAGTCTAAAACACACATGATACACTTTTTTTTTAGTTTCTTAGGGATTTTTATTTTCATAGATTATATAAAATGTGCCTACATGAGCAAATGGTCATCTATGACCTTTTATATATCTACAACAACTAAAAATCTAATTACATTCATGGAAACAACTTTAAAACTAAGTAAAGATTATACTGTGTCTTTCAAAGCCCACAGGATACAACCACCATTGTAACAAGCTAAGTATTACACTCTTACAAAGCACAGGCAAACCACAAACACACTACCAAGAGAAACCAACCAATATTTAGCACCTCAACCACTGAGCAGTGCTGCCTGGCACTGTTACAAACATATGCAAACCTGAGTCTTAAAGTGCAATTACATTTAAAAAAACAAAACGTAATAATACTAGACATAACAAGATGCCTTTGGGTTGAAGCTATTTCATATGTGTAGTTCAAGTAATCCCCCTAAATGTAGCTCAGGGCTGTTTCACACTGGCCAGTTGATTTACTGGATACAGCCGACCTCCACGTTGTGGCAGCGTGGAATAGTCCTTTTTCAAATGTAGAAGGAAAAGCACAGGTGTTACTAATAACATTAAGAATGGCTCTGTTCTATGACATTCGGTCATTATTTATTTCCTTATTTATCCCGGTGCTTTACCGACTGTGTTATGCCAAATTTTCTTTTGCAAGAAAGGACAATATCTGACCCCAAACAAGCTTTGTTGTCCCATATTTGTTGCTTCCAAAAATCTGCTTCCCTGTGGAGCACTGCTTTCCACATTACCATTCATAATTGACCTGTGCTACAAGCTTTCTCAAAGGCAGCATGAAGGCATTTGAAGATTGCTCGACAGACAAAAAAACAAAAAAAACAAACAGTTTCTTTCTAAAAAGCATTTTCGTAGACAAACTTATCCCATCTTCTTTGCCACAGAGCCAGGGCTTTCTCCTGTTGCTTCGAAGTCAAAGAACTATACCTGAAGGACAGACGATGGAGATGTCAGTGAGCGGTCTGCTGAGGCATGCGAGGCCCTCACGCACAATTCAATTGTAATTTGTAAATCACCTCACCTGATAGAGTTCATAGCCAGCTCTTTGAGGGAGCCCAAATGGGATCTAATCCCACCAAAGCCCACAAACGCTTCGTAGAAGTCATAAGAGAGTCCGGAGGCGCGGAACATGGCAGGGTCGTCGGAACTGATGACCACTGGGTGGTTTTCTGACATCAGTGCAGCTGCCGGGTGGTTTCGCATATCATTTACTAGCTTCAACACCTGAACGAGGAAAGGAAAGGAGATATTTGTTTAAAAGATGCACGATAAATTAAATGACAGCCTTGTTGGGTTGATAGTATTTGATGTATTACACTAGTAAGTATTTTTGGTGTACAGTATGGTGTACAAGATGACAGACCTGGTTGGAGATGGGGCACACTTCCACAGCCACCCCTCTCTTTCTGGATAGGTCCTTGGCCACTGGGTGGCGAAGCAGAGCAAACCCATGGCCAATACGGGACGTGTTCAACAAAAGAGCATCCAACAAGTTCTGGTCCACATCTGTGCCCTCCAGATCTATATTTAGTAGAGACAAATCAGAATGGATGCTAGTATTTTGGGATGTTTTATTAACACAAAATGTGATGGTTCTTGAAAGACTTGGTAATCATTTCATTTCTTTTGTTTGGTAACAATTTGGAATCGTACAAAAAAGATCGGACAGATGTGTTTATGATAAGGTTGGCATTGTGCTTTGCACTTTTGCTAAAGGTAGTGTTTATGTACATGTCTACCAATACATTTCTATGACTTTGAGGTAAATTCTCATGACTCATTCTCGGAAACATCGATATGACCTGTTTCAAAATTCACAGTAAATCTTAACTCAAATGAATGACAAGCTATGGCTGTCATGGAATATAACCTGAAAAACCTGCTTGTGTCCTCACATGACTTGCACACGGGGCTTGACATTTCATTTTTAGCTCCAAAGCAACTGTGGCTTGTGGTTTTCTTGAGTTACTCGCCACTCAGCACTTTCACCAGACAAAATGTAGTTGTTGGGAAATGATGTTTTATTTGAGTCAAGTTGAAGTGTGAAGCTCCTTTTGTTTGAAAACATGCAACTAATAAAGACAAAGACATAAAAAAGAGTAGCTTCTTCTTGCATAAGTGGTGTTGAGGATTAATTGAAAAGATAAAAAACTAAACTGAAAAAAAGTAGAACAAAAAAAAAGTTAAAAACTGTCGAGCCTATTTACAGGTGTGAATATATATACATATATATATACATATATATATAT